TCATTCTGTTCAGCCCCAACGTGGAGCTGTCTGGCTACCCACCCTGGCAGATTCGTTTAACGGAAATTTTCTGCCTCCAGGATAACGAGGGATTTGGATATCAGGTGTTTTTGAAGGCTCTCCGGAAGTTTGCCAAGGCGCAAATGCGCAACGGCAAATGAGAAAAACACGGCACATGAAATCAAACTTTTGGGCAACATATGTACCACGAGGGATATTTCGCTTCCTGTGAGGGAACCATGTAGCCTCTATTTGATAAATATCTCAATCCATTATATAAATAGCTTTTTAAGAGTCAGCATTCGCCTTGAGAGTTCCCTCTTTCTTATGAATAATTGCTTCATTCAAGTTATACCTGTCGTGCGATTATGTATGTGGTAATCTAGTAAACCAAGATTTCTTACATCCCGGATTTGGTCCATTAGACTGTGTGGAAGTTGTTCACAGCTAGCAGGCTAGATATGATCCCCTTTTTAGGGAAAGCGGGATGAAAATGGTGGCCGAGTAGAGTTTACGGCACGTTGGCAAGCAATAAGCTGTGTGCAGCTTCCCGATTTATGTATATATTTATTAATGTGATATATAATAGAAGTGTCCTTTAGGCTTTAATTGGTTAATAAAAAAAATTAGCAGCTGGTTAGTAGGAAAATATGGCTTACGTTACTCACGTGTGTAGTCTCGCGAACCTTGTAGCTAGCTATAGCTAGCGCTAATGTTAAGCCGTAGCGGTTACAGTGCATAGCGGTCACAGCGGGCCGCAGGCCAGAGCTCGCCGTAAGTGGCATCTGGGCCCCTGGCAGGGAATAATTTAAAGGGTCAACGGTCAAGTAGTGGCTGGGTCTTGCCCGCTTTGCCTACATACTTATGTATTGACCCTTATTATTTTAGGACAACTTGATCGTTGGCATCACGGCCTTGTAATACTGCACCTAGAGACAGTATAGCCTAGGCTCTAGCTTGGTAGATATTATGGGTTTTTTTTTATTTTATTTTTTTAATAAAAAATCTTGTTACTCTATTGACTCGAGCACCTTGTAGGGGCCCCTGTATATCCGACACCACCAAAGTTGGTGCTGAGTAGCGCCTGAGCGAATGTGTCATTGTTTAGAATGGCCGTCTTCCGCTCGACCTTGCTGGGTCATTTTCTCGACCTCCATCATCATCTCTTGAGACTGGCGGCTAGGTAAATCATCCTGGCAGCTCGAGTCCCCCGCAAGAACGCATACACAACAAATCGTGACGATTTCATTTAACAGTTTTATGCAACGCGAGAATAAGAAGCGACGAATCAACAAGCCCACGCCTCGCAGTGCAAAAGAACGAGCTGCTCTTTGGGAGAGTCTAAAGGACTTATTATAGTTCCTTCTACCTGAACGAGCTCGGCTCGCTGAACTCCTCTGCCACTGCGCTGTACAACTGGTTCAAAGTCTTGCTCAGCTTAGTCTAGTTATTGAATATATTTCCAACCATTTCATAGTCGGCAAAAGTAATGCCCACAACAGCGCGTGTGCCTGATTTTGTGAGTTGTATCTTTTTGTTTGTTTGCGCCATTCAGGTGCAGTAGATTTTGCAAAGGATTAATTAATGGCAAGCTACTCCGTAATTGCAAGAACTAATTGGTTTAGGCCAGGACTACGCATAACTGCAGCTCACAAATTGAGCCGGCAGTAGTGCAGTATGTTGTATGTAGTGTTGACACTTCGACCAGGGGAGGTGCCTCCTTGCCAAAATGACCGACAAGTCGGTGAAACAAGCCAACTGCCTTCCGTACGTGGGTCAAGGCGCTACACTCTCCATTATCAGATCTTGCCTCGATCGCCATCAATGACAGGACAACTTACCCGCAAGTATACAATGAACATTCCAATTCACCTTGGGGATGGCAAGATGGCTTGATTGCAAGAACTCATAGGACAACATATCGCCAAAGAATTAAAATACTAGTACGTCCCCCTTGCACCTTGGAGAAGTGGGCTGTCCCGCTGGGCGACCCACCCCAACGTTAGTTAGAGCCCACCGTGTCGGATTAATTATTAATCCATACTAAGTAGGCGTCGTTTCATCTCAGCTTTCTCCTATTTGTACGGTCTGGAGTTACTCCCACCAGGCCATCACTGTGGCTCACATCTGGATCTACCAGACCCTCTTTTATTGAATGTACATGATCCTTTCCGCGCTGCCAGATCCATCAGCCATGTTCAAGCTAACCATTCACTAGCGAATACTCCTCTAATCACGGCCAACCAGGACAGGCCGTCCCAGCAATGGAATACTACCATATAGCAGCCCCGGCAAACCAGCGGACCCTAGCTGTTCCGGGGTTATTTGCTCCAGTTCCAAAGCGAAGTCCAGACAAATATAGTCAGAATGCGAACAATAACCAGAAAAAGTGCTCCCAACAAGCCACTGCATTTTTTAAGGATAGTGTTAAGCGGGCGCAAGAGAGGAATCAGAGGTACAAGATCTGGCTGCCCAACACTTTTCCCTAGGCCTTACACTACGTTGCCAATACTAATCGGCTTGTTATGCAGACAAAGTGAGACTGAGAGAAGGCTCCAGGAGCCCAACGTCAGTCAAGAAAAACGAGATCAAATCTGGTTGACTACTGGCCGGAAAGAAGGACAATACTTACGGTTCTTACGGACTAAAGATAAGCCTGAGAACTACCAAACAATTAAGGTCATTGGCAGGGGCTCTTTTGGTGAAGTTAAATTAGTACAAAAAAAGGCAAACGGCCAGGTCTACGCAATGAAATCTCTGATTAAAACAGAGATGCTTCAGAGGGACCAGCTTGCACACGTTAGATCAGAGCGCGACATCTTAGCAGAGGCTGAAAGTCCTTGGGTTGTGAAGCTTTTCACTACTTTCCAGGATGCATATTTTCTTTATATGCTCATGGAATACTTACCTGGTGGTGATTTAATGGCAATGCTCATGAAATATGAGATCTTCTCAGAAGACATAACCCGGTTTTACATGGCAGAATGCATATTAGCTATCGAGGCAGTTCACAAACTGGGCTTTATCCATCGGTATGCTACACCCCCAGATCTACCTGTCTGTCACTGACACCATCTAGAGACATCAAACCAGACAATATCCTCCTAGACCATGGTGGCCATGTTAAATTGACCGACTTTGGCCTCTCTACCGGCTTTAATCGTCTGCATGACAACAGCTACTACCAACAGCTACTGCAGGGAAAGTCCAATAAACCAAGAGACCGAAGCTCAGTTATTGACCAGATTAACCTTACTGTTAGTAATCGGTCGCAGATTAATGAGTGGCGACAGTCGAGGAGATTAATAGCATACTCTGCTGTCGGAACACCTGACTATATTGCGCCTGAGATATTAACTGGCCACGGTTATTCATTCAGCTCCGACTGGTGGTCCCTTGGCACAATTATGTACGAGTGCTTAGTAGGATGGCCTCCATTTTGCGCCGAGGATAATCACGGCACGTACCTAAGGATTGTGAACTGGATGCAGACTTTGTGTTTTCCCGATGACATTCAGCTTGGTCCAGAAGCTGAAAATTTCATCCGAAGGTGAGCTTCATCATATCCCAGTAGCTGTTCCAGTGCTAACAGCCAAGATTGATCTGCAATCCCGAGGACCGAATTGGACGTGGCGGGGCGCAAGAACTAAAGGCACATCCTTTCTTTCGGGGAGTCCAGTTTGACAGCCTACGCCGTGTCAGAGCACCATTTGAGCCGCGATTGGCTTCCAGTATCGACACCACGAATTTTCCCACAGATCAGATCGATCAGACCGACATGGCCAGCCGACTTAAGGCCCAGGCACTACAAGGCGCCGAAACGCCGTTGGAGGATTCGCTGGAGATGAGTTTGCCTTTTATCGGATACACCTTCAAGCGGTTCGACACCAATTTCCGGTAATGGGTGTCCGGGATGAGTGCTGGTTCCTACCCTGTGGTTTGTGCCGGGTTCTGGAGTAATAGAATATGTTTGTGTTGGCTACATAGACCTCGCCTCCAAGGCATCCAGTCCAGGCCATCTAGACCAACTACCCCCCAAGTCTTCCCGCTTGAAGCCATCAATCCCCCATCACTGTATCGTTATTATATTGGCTCGAGGACCTTGTGGCCTGTGGGGGCCGCCTCTGCCATATATATTGTGAGGAGCAAAGTGACCCATTGTGACACAAAGCTAGTACCAAGCAAACGGTGTATTGGTGTGATAAACTCAACGTAGCGATCTGTACCTGACAGGGTTGTCGGTATAAGTATTATAACCTAATTTCTAACTAAATAAAGGTACTATTTGACCGTTACTGATCGATTGACTATTGACCCCTAGAACTGACTATCCCCAAGGTCCTCGATGAGATACTCGTCATGAGTTACCCCTTGCGACAGCTGGGTCTATTAAGGTTTGGCCAGGTGTGGGCTACAGCGCTCATGCATACAGCTCCCAACAGGTGTACTAGGAAGTATCAGTAGTACATTGAGTGCAGTTCAAGCCGTATAAATAATGGAAAACACCATGGGACGCAGTTAGGCGCTAACGGATTCCTGAAATTTTTGGTACTTTTCAAGTCTGTCATGACTAGCACTGGGCTCAAGTGGCCCGACCTACCGGGCATAACTCTGGTCTAAACGCCTCGTAAGTGACCATGGAACACATTACCTTTAATAGTATAGAATGACATTTTCATTAGATTAAGCATAAAGTAGTATGGCTGAGCAGACCTATCTCCAAGCTGGACCCTTGGACACATGGAGAAAGTCGAGAGACTAAACGGCCGCGTTAGGAGCAGAGACAGGTGGCATTATCAACACCTTGTTATTTCATCACTCGGAGAGGCTCGTTCTATTCCAACTATAAAGCACTCTCGTAGTCACGTACCGAAGTCTTTCATTACCTTCTTCACTCGCCAGACCTCCACTCCTTTTACACTCACAGAGTCATAGTCCAAGGATTATCCTTGATATTTTTCCAAACCGTCCCAGAGCCTCCAGGTATAGTCAAACCAAGTATGAGAGCCTACCAGCTACTTGCTTTATTGACGGTGTCGGCGTCTGCTGTCCCCCAAGACACCAAACGAGCTCTGCTTGAAGCAAGACTCGACCTCCCAGCTGGTATCACTGATGGCCTTGAAATTGACACCGACATTATCGGCAAGACTGTCCCGATTATCCGCGTCTGCATAAAACTACGCCTTTAGCCGCAGCGCGGAGAACAACCAAAAGAGCTACATCTACATTATTGCGCCCAAGGAGGTGCCTGATAGCTCTTAGATTCCTGGAATTTACTCCCCAGATAAGAACTCCGCTGTCAAGCGTAATCAGGAATTCGCCGTTTAGGGCTCTATTCTAGGCTCCAGCATCTCTCACGCATATAAGGTGACCCGGGACAATCGGTCCGCCAGGTCTAGCAAAATAAGAAATAAAGGGTACTCGCTACAGTCGGCCGGACGATGCGTTTTGCAGAGGGAGCGGGCCGGTGTCTGCGATCCAGCCGGATGGAGCGAGGAACCCAAGAAGACGCCGTCGGAGCAGACAGGTCCTGGAGAAGACGACGGCAAGGAAAAGGGAAAGGGAAAGGGCGGAATTACGGGCCAGAAAATCATCGAGAGCAAGTTCCTGCAGTTCCTCGCCGAGCTGGACCCCGAGTTCATTCGCCCCCTTGTTGAGGCCGTCCAATCTGGAGAAATCACCGTCTCGGATATTCAGCTAGCCTTTAAGCGCTCCCTGACGGACACCATGGAAAACCGCTAGGCAGACTTTAGAAGTGGCGATAAGGCAGCTAAAAGCCTCAAGAATATTATTGTCAACATCTTTGCCACGGCCCGCTACGCAACGCCTCCTGAATTCTGGCAAGATGTTGCCAGGAACTTAACTTGCCTGATATTACGAGGGAAATTAGTAAGGGCAAGACCCCTGAGGAAAAGCTAGAAATTGCTAATAAGAATGTAAATGAGGTGTGTTAATGTGTGGTCGTACACGCCAGTTGGCGCGCTTAACGAGAACATTATGAAGGAAGCGGCTAATAACGCGCGCCCCGTCCAGGCTGTCGCCGTGTCTCTCAATAAGCTGTGGTCATACACCCTTATTGGCTGGCTGGATAACCAGATTGCCCCCGTTGATTCTGGGCTGAGACAGATCAACGTTCGTGATGTGATGCTGACCTTGGGGCAGTAGAGTACAGCGAAGGCTCAGGGGCGAGTAGCTGATGTATGGATCTGATTGATCCGACTTTGTAGAGAAGTGTATCCGTCGTAGATTAGAGGTTCTCTTTGCTCCTTTTGGATAATACGCTTTATTCAAGTCGCACTCGCCCATGCTCGTGCCCCATGTACCGTCGTCAATGCAGCGGCACTTCCCTAGCCACGTTCCCACAAGACCATCTGCCGGCTCGTCCTATCCCATCGATACACAGGACCCCTCCCGACGTTGTAGTTGTAGTAATTTTCCGTCCCGTCCTTGACCATGGCCCTCCGAAACGTGATGTTTATACGCCCCCCGTCATCCTGGTTTCTGCCCGTCCGCTTGGGAACAGAGTGAAGCCAACTCGACTGCGTCGCCCCCCTCATGAGAACCATGTCGCCGCTGCCCAGCGCCAACTTGACCCCCCTGGCCTCCGTTGCGGCCGCCGACTCACCGGGCCGGGGGGCCTTGTGCTTCATTAAAAAATCCCGCCGGGCACCGAGTGAGAACGAGGCAATCGCCGGCTCTGCGCCGAGAAATCTCTCGTCATCGCTGTGGAAGGATATACTGTCCGCCCCGGAAGCGTAATAGTTGACGAGGCAAAAGTTGAATTTACAATTCGTTGCTGCTTCGGTTGATTTGCGGAGGGCATCCAGACACTGCGGGATAGGACGCGGGGGGTAGCGATCGTACCGCTTGTCGTTGGCTTTCATGGTGGATAATTTGTCTGTGACGGCGCCGCCGGCGTCAAAGTACGACGTGTCGTCCAGCCCGAATACCGTTGTCCATCTATCCGCATTAGAGCAACTTTCCATGACGCAGTTTGTGTGCACGTTTGACATGGCCCAGTATCTAATATCGTGCTTCAACGCCAGGGGGTACGTGAAATAACTACCGCATTATTTGTCGACTGCCATCCGTAGTATGTACATGGGATACGTACCGAGGTGTGACGATGTGTGTTTGATACCCGCCGCGCTTAATGTCATACTCTACCCTGTAAAAAGGCAGCTCTGACCGCAGGAAGTCGAACATCTGCTTGCCCAGGTATGCTGGGATGTATGGCTCAAAATAGAGCAAGTCCAGGTCTGGCTGGTCGTTGATGCGTCTTCCCGGGCGAGCTGGGAGGGACGCCACGTCCCGCACCATCAGGGCCGGCAGGTTGGCTATCGGGAAGGGGTATGCCGGGTGCGCTGAGTGACCAGCCTGGGCCTATTTAGATACTATCCATGATGGTTCGTGTCGTGTGCACTGTGGCAGACTTACATCCTGATCTGGCTCATTCTCCTTGCGTCGTTTCGGCACCACCGTAAAGAACGCGTCTAGTGTCCGCTTCTGAGCCATCTCCAATAGACCTACAGAAATGTACAAGTTGAGATGATGCAAACGGCCGAGCACAACGCGACACAGGATGTAGCTTCGCATTGGAGTGTTGGATGCAAGTGGTGACATCACACAGCCTCGCCCGAAGTGGCCCCACACTTACCCGAGACCGAGTGGTTTTCATCAGCCTCGCTGCCTCACCCCATGTCGCTCACGACCGAGTGAGTTGTCAAAAAAAAAAAAAGCATCATTTCGTCTCATCTCGGTCCGCCTTCTCACCACGGGGTATACCATGGAGGTATGTCAAAATGAGGGGAGATCTCTTTTTTTTTTCTAGGCCCACGCTTTATTCTCATCCCATCGCACTTTTTTTTCCCTATTTTTTTACCCAAGGCGCCAACATGGGACAAGATTTCTGACTAGATGAACAGACCAAACGCTCGGAACTGGAAATGAACCTTTTCAAACCCCCTGCCGCGGCTCGAGCTGCCAAAACCCTCGACAGGGCTCTGTTCTCACGCACGCTACCCACTGTAGCGGCGAGCGTGCGCGAGAACAAGCTCATCTCCAAGTACAGGATGGAGCTGGGGAAGACAAGGGAGGTGCTGCTGGTGGAAAAGTTTGACCCGATTGCCGCGGATCCGGACGAGGCGTTAGCGGCCCAGGGGAAGAAGTGCCTTATTTTGAGGCCGGATTTGAAAATCTCGGGTATGTTGTCTTTGTTTTATTTATGCGTTTTGGGCTGCATAGGAAAGCTAACACGCTTGCTGTAGCCCCTGAAGCGTGGAGTCCCGTGTTGCAGGAAGCCACCAAGATTGGGGATCTGAAGATTGTCCCGTTTGATGTGACGATTGATTATAAGCTGTGGTCATATGGTGAGCTGTCCTTTTTCTCATGTGTCAAACATGGGGCGTGCAACTAATCTTGTGTAGTTGACGTTATGAGATCGATAATACCGGAGGAGCTTCAGGACGAGATCCCCGCGAGTTTTAACACCGCAGGGCACGTGGGTACGTATTAACACACGTCTAAAGTTTACTTGATCTCCATTTGACATCTTGAACAGCGCACCTGAACATGAGAGAGCGATATCAGCCGTATAAACACGTCATTGGTCAGGTCATTCTCGATAAGAATCCTGTTATCCGGACAGTTATCAACAAGACTGACGATGTCGGCACCCAGAATGAATTCCGAACTTTCAGCTACGAGGTGCTGGCTGGTCCTGATGACATGCTGGTGGAGGTTAGTGAGGCCGGATGCGTCTTCAACTTTGACTACTCCAAAGTGTACTGGAACTCGAAGCTGAGCGGGGAACATGAACGGATCTGTGCCACGTTCAAGCCTGGGGAGGTGGTTGCCGATGTGATGGCTGGTATCGGACCTTTTGCCGCGCCCGCGGGGAAGAAGGGTGTTTTTGTATGGGCAAATGATAAGAACCCGGAGAGTTATAAGTATCTCACTGATATTGTCAAGAGGAACAAGGTGAGAGAGTTTCTCTGCGGGACGTTGGGAGAATCCAGGCAGGGGCAAGACGTGCAAAGTCAACATCTCAACTGACACGTTATAGGTGACCGAGTTTGTTAAACCCTTCAACGAAGACGGCCACGACTTCATCAAACGAGCCGCAGACCTCGTGCTGGAAGCCTCTCAGCGCGGAGACTGCGCCGTCCTCAAACCCGTCAAAGTGTCTCGCAGCGTACCACCAGGGGAGCGGCCCGAGCCAGTTCGCGTCCCCGTGCCTCCTACCATTTCCCACTATGTCATGAACTTGCCTGCTTCTGCTCTCGAGTTCCTCCATAACTTCAAAGGCTTGTACCACGGGCGGGAAATGCTGTTCACGCCGCACACGGACACGAAGCTGCCCTTGATCCATGCGCATTGCTTTGCCGTAAAGGCGGACGATGCGACCCCTCTCGATGATATATGCCAACGCATCTACAGCGAAATTGGTGTCCAGCTGAAGCCGGGTAGTGCGGAAGTGGAAGGAGAAGTAGCTATTCACGAGGTTCGGGATGTCGCCCCCGCAAAGAGGATGTTTTGCGCAAGTTTCCGTCTGCCTCCCGAGGTGGCTTTCTCCCCGCGGGCTTGACAAGGCAACTAAACTTTACATGGACGTCTCCTGCGACGCTGTATCCTGTCAATAAACCCTCCGCATAATCATCATGGGAGACAAGAAAAAAAAGGCTCGGCAAGACCCGCCGCTCCCGAAGCAATACCCGGCGAGTGGGTTGTATTCTCTTGCTTATATCGACAACCTCTTATACATGCTCGCGCGGGTGGTGGTGGCATCGGACACTAAGGCCGTTTTCAGTTGCCAGCATATCTGTCGAGTCCGTTTGTCCTGAATCGACGGCTTACAGCTTCCAAAGATCTGTCCCAATGGTGATTCTTGCTTAGCTAGGACTACACCCCGCCCTGCTAAGAAGAGACGCCTGTTTCAGGATAGTGCAATATGAGAGTGAACGACGACAATGTTACGCAGTTCAGTTGGCGTGAGGCTTGGAGGCTTGCTGAACAGTCATAGCAACAAGAAGAAGAATGGGATATTGCGGGGTATGTGTATGCATGTGTGACTGGGATAACATCCAAGTCTCAATCGAGCGTGCCGAGGCTACTCTAACTACCTAGGTAGTCATCTCTCCTTTATCCCCCCCTGTTTTGATGTAGCCTCTGCCATTCCATGGAGAATACCGGAAGCAGAATCGGTGTGCCTAAACGTGGCAGCAAGAGGGTGTGGTCGGGAAGCAAAATGGCTAAGCAGGGATGTACACGGCCGGCCTCGCCAAAAGCGTTTATATCAATCCAATCAGACCCCGAATGGAAGCTTGACCGGTTGTGAATGCATGCGGCCAGGCCCACGGCTGTTGTGTAACAGCTACCTCTTGAGTGAAAGAGCATTCGCAGCCACTACTTGGACAAGTGTCTCGGAAACCGTTCGTGGCTGGCAGCCATCATGTATGTTGAAGTTTGTGGAAAGAGGTGACAAGACAAACACATCATCATCAACCAGACGGAATGCGTGATATCATCAGGAGCCTTTGTAAGCTGGCTCGTCGTTTGGTGCCTGCGCAGAGGCGCCCACAGCCAGGCCATTCTTGCAACCACCAGGGTGCCCGTCATAAACGAGTTTGTTGCACATGGAGTGTTTCTCAGATATAAAGTGCTCTGTTCCTGATATTAGAACGGAATGCGGGCCTCTGTTTGATTTGACGTGATGAAGCTCCTCTGGCTCCCCACCACGATGC